TCCTTTGCCCACCTCTCAAGTGGGCAATTAGTTTTTTCTTTTTGGAAGCTTCCTTTATTTTTTTTAAGACCAGAACTATCTTTTATTTTAAAAACTTTCAAAATATCATATTCGAGGGTTAATAAAGTAAAATGAGAACTTATATCATTAGACACTTAAAATTTTAATCTGTGTATCTTTGGCATTCAATTCATGATAATTTCAATTATATCACTTTTTTGTGGCCACAGTATTTAATCCTCCTTTAAATTGAAAGAGTTTTGGTTTGATTTGCCAGGCAATATATCTGGCAAAGTCTTTTTAAAAATCATTTTATTGGGGGCTCTTACAGCTCTTATCACAATCCATATATCCATCCATTGTGTCAAGCACATTTGTACATATGTTGCCATCATAATTTTCAAAACATTTTCTTTCTACTTGAGCCCTTGGTATCAGCTCCTCATTCCCCCCCACCCTCTTCCTCCCTCCCTCTTGAACCCTTGATAATTTATAAATTATTATTTTTTCATGTCTTACACTGACTGCTGTCTCCCTTCACCCACTTTTCTGTTGTCCATCTCCCTGGGAAGGGGTTATATGTAGATCATTCTGATTGGTTCCCCCTTTCTCTCCCCCACCTTCCTCTTCTCCTGGTATTTCTACTCTCAGCATTGGTCCTGAGGGGTTTATCTGTCCTGGATTCCCTATGTTGGGAGCTCTTATCTGTACTCATGTACATGCTCTGGTGTAGCTGGATTTGTAAGACAGAATTGAGGTCATAATAGTGGGGGGTGGGGGCGTGGAGGAAGCATTAAAGAACTAGAGGAAAGTTGTATGTTTCATCGGTGCTATACTGCACCCTGACTGGCTCATCTGTTCCTGTGACTCTTCTATAGGGGGATGTCCAATTGTCTACAGATGGGCTTTCGGTCTCCACTCCACACTCCTCCTCATTTACATTGATATGATTTTTTGTTATGAGTCTTTGATGCCTGATACCTGATCTCTTTGACACTTCATAATCACACAGGCTGGTGTGCTTCTTCCATGTGGGCTTTGTTGCTTCTCAGCTAGATGGCTGCTTGTTTATTGTCAAACCTTTAAAACCCCAGACGCTATATCTTTTGATAGCCAGGCACCATCAGCTTTCTTCACCACATTTGCTTATGGACCCATTTTATCTTCAGCTATCGTGTCAGGGAAGGTGAGCATCATGGAATGCCAGGTTATTAGAACACAGTGTTCTTGCATTGAGGGAGTACTTGAGAAGAGGCCCAATATCTGGCTGCTACCTTAATACTTAACATATAAATATATGTATATAGATCTATTTTCCTATTGTTATATATAAATATATTTTCGTATGTACATGTCTGTATTTAGACCTCTATACATGTCCTTTGCCTCCTAATTCTTTCCTCTATTTCCTATTACTTACCTTTTGTCTCAATAGCATGTTCAGCCTTCATTCATGTTTCAGTAATTCCTCTCGGCTACATTGCCCTTTATCAAGCCCCACCAGGCATCCTACGCCCTCCTTGCCATCCGTTTTAGATCACTTGACACAAAAACAAGACAAAACCAAAACAAACAACATCAACAAAAAACCAAAGACATAAAAAGAAAAGCTTCTAAATAGTTCTAAGTCTGTTTCTTGACCTTTAGGAGTGTTTTCCAGTTGAATCTGATGGAGTGCTACACCCTGGCCCCAAAGTCTATTTTTGGTATTCCCCAGGGACTTCATTGCTTTACTCACCTTGCTGCTCTGTCACACGCCCTTAGTGTTTCCCCCCAGTGTGGTGGGGTCAGATTGGGCACAATTCCCGCACTGTGTCTCCAGTGTTGTCCCCCGCAGAACTATGGGTCAGTGAGGGACGTTGTGTCTGTGTCTCATGGTAGGGCCGGCTTTATGGTCCTCTCTGTGCATTGGCTGCTCTGAGCAGGAATATTGTCTTCGGGGCTAGGAGGGCCAGGATGTGTTCCATTCTCTCTCCTCCCCTCTTGGTTTGCTCCTGTGTGCTCTGATCATGTGTGACCCTCTCCCCGAGCTGTACTGTAGTGCTGTTCTCTGAAGTGCATTCTTCGGTAGGGTGGGGGCGGGGTGGTGTGTGTGTGTGTGTGTGGTGTGGTCCATGTAGTTGGGATTGGAGTCAGCCCAGCAGACCTCTCTATTAGTTCCCTGCTTCATGCCAGTATGTTGTATTCATGTCTTGGCGCACAAGTCTGTTCCCACTCTCCTTCTCCTCAGCAGACTCAGGTTGTACTTGTCCTTTTATGCTTGGTTTACTTCACTTAGCATAATTTCCTCCAATTCTTCCCATGCATTGATGTGCATCTCTGGCAAAGTCTTAAGAATGTATGTAATAAGATTTTCCCCAAGATTAATGACACTCCTGACCTTCAATTTAAGGGTCCAAATTAAATTTAGCTCACAGGTTTAGTTATCTTGATGGATCCTTAGCAATTTTTGAATTCTCTGGTCCAAGAATAGCCATGCCTTGTGTGCACTTCCCAATGCCAAGGTACTTACTGCTCACATCGATAAGTTTGTCATGATTGATGACAAAGAGCTATTCCAATGTGCCTGCTTTACCTCGTCAGCGAGTCCATTCAAGAAACGGTCCACACCTTTGTCTGATGGCATAACAGGAGCATCCACACCAGAGACCACTGCACGTTTTGCTCCCTCAGTACCCTGCCATGAGAAATCCAGATGTAGCCTAGTCAGCAGCTTTCCTGAAAGCCTGGAGAGTTTCTATTGAGTTTGCATCCTGGGTTTATTGTGAATCCATGGATTTCCCCCTCCTACTTCATATTGTAGAGCTTTGCTGCTTGTCCACTTTCATACTTCGTGGGTTTCCCGAGGCTGGTCAGCCTCTGCAGCCTACTACAGCACCACCTGTCCTTGGTAGATAGAGTGTGAGCTCAGGCTTGGGGACAGCCCTTAGCCCGGTGTCCATACCAGTATCTTGATTTTGGCTCAGTAGAATGTTTTTCAGAATTCTGGTCTCCAGCATCATGAGAGAATAAATGTTTGTCGTGTCAAAACACTAAGTTGTGGTAATTTGCTGCCATCGCAGGAAGAAACTAAGAGAGGTACCAGACCAGTGGGCTTGGTCCCTCTGTCTAGCTGCATCTTCCTTTCAAATATAAGGGTTTCTTTTGCCGGAAGGACCTTCTTTGACATCTCTTTTCGAATGACTCTGAAGTTGATGATATTTTTCAGCTTTTGCCTGTCTGAAGCAGACTTTATTTTGCCTTCATTTTTTTTGAAAGGTATTGTCACTGGAATAACAATTTAATTTACATTTTTTCTTTAGTTATTTAAAAAAAAATATTAATTGGGAGTTAATTCTTATATCAAAGCATTCCATAGTTCAGTCATAATGAGCAGTATTGTACAATTGCTACCACAAATCCAGTTCCAAACATTCTTTTCCTTCCTGGACTCCTTGACATTGTCTCCCTTTTATCCCACCCTCTGTCCTCCCCCGAAACCCTTATTATATTTGCTGTCCCTATAGGTTCATCAATCCTGGGTTTCATATACTGAAAAACAGAAAAATGTATAACACAACTTCAAGAGGGTGACCCCCAATGACATAACACCTCTAAGATAAACCCCAATACTTCTTTCCCTGTGGGTAGTTTCTTCACTGTATCCACTGTAGAGTCTACGACAGATACTTGAAGAGTTCATTCTGTGTGTGGCCTCCTTCTCTCCACCATCGCAGCTTGCAAACTATCGGCATCGACGTCACCAGACACTCTCAGCTCTGCCGGTTTCCATTTAAGGACTCAGGTGGATTTTGTCAGCACTTCCCTTCCCTGTGCGGGACATGCTCTCAGCGCAGCAAATAGAGACAACTGTGTGACTCTGTTTCCTGTCTCTTAAGGACCACAATGCTTCACGGCCTGGATGCCCAGTGTCTCTTAAGCCCTTGTTTGTTCTATTTTCATCGTCATTCCACCACTTCACCATACATGTACGACTGCTTGATAGGCAGCCTTATTTGGCGGCGTATATATCAGAATCACCTAGTTTGGGCCATTTCTGGTTTCATAACTTTTTCAGGTGAATCTGATGAGCCCCTTTTGTGTACTGAACTTTTTTCAGTTTTTCCTCCTAAAAACCTACTTTCCGTTCATACAGATGAGTGAGGGCCTTGAAGCATGTATCTGTTACTCTCTATGTCTACATTAATCATACTAGCTCCTTGTTTTGAACCTTTACGATGTGGCAGGCATGCTGGTGAGATTTTAATGTACATGATCTTATTTAACTCTGCAACTCTCCCCTAGGATGAGCTCTCTTATAGTTTCATATTTCACAGAGGAGGACATTGAGCAGCTAGCCAAAGGTCACATCAGTAATCAAAATAAAATGAGTCCTCTTATAATGAGCTTCTCCCTCCCAACTAAGTGTTTCTAAAGTCGTTTTCTGCCTCTTGGAGGAGAGTAGTTATCACCCTCTTATGGGAGACCCAACCCTAACTTTCCAGGGTGCCCTGATTCTAGGAAGAACAGTATTCTACAGACTGGAAAATCTGGATTTCTAAAGCATGTGTTTTTGTTTTTCTTGCAGGCGGCTGATGGCTTTGCAGGAAGACAGGCAAACCAAGAAGTGGAAGAAACAGGACATTTGTGTGGGCAACCCCGAGGCGTGCGCTTTCCCGGGGCTGCTGAGCACCTACAGCAAGTTCATCATCTCCTTTGCCGAAGATGAAGCAGGTAACCAGCAGGCCATGGAACTCCTGCTTAAGGGACTGAAGAGAATCACAGGCACTGTCTGAACATTCAAAAGAAAAAAAAATTAAATAGCGACTACCACTTCTGTTATTATCCCTCCCATTCAGCCCTCTTTTATAACGTGCCAGACACTGTTCTAAGCACTTTACTTTATTCTCCTTACTTAACAATCCCGATGTGCCCACGATGTAATTGATTGTGGTCATTTCACCCATGAGGACACAGGCTATCTCCCCCTCCCCCCACACCCTGTCTTGGTCAAACTGCCCTCTTCACTGTGAGGGGCAGGTCACGGTCTCCACTTCAGTTTTCTCGACCATTTGATTGCGAAGGAGGTTCAATCTGATTTTACTCAAATTTGCAGATATGGGAACATGGTCAGGGCCGATAGTGGCTTGGACTAGCTGGGCGGCGGCTCCTTGTCTTGCTGAGAGAAGGAAGGGTCAGCTCACTCGTTGGGCAGGACTCCTCTGACTCTGAAGAGTTACTGAGTAGCCGCTGTTCGTGAGCGACCGCTAGGAGGCCACCCAGTTGCTAGATTAGGGACATGCTCAGAGCACCAGCAAAGCAAGGCATACATTCCTGTGCACACACGAGAGACAGAGAGATAGGTAGAGAAAAAGAAAAAGAGATTTAGCCTTTGTAAAGCCACCTTTTCCACCATTAAAACCAAACCAAACCAGGCCCCCTTCATTGTGAATTGGGTGAAGGTACAGAGGAGATTGTTAGTGTCACATCTAATAATTCACACATGTTTTGGTCCATGTCATTGATTGAAATGCCCTCAATGTGCCAGCATGAATCCCACATTCTTCCAGGGGTCCTTTCCTGCTCCTTTCCTGGCCATTCTGAACTTGGTTCCTGGGCAAACGCTCCCCTTTCAACCTCAACTGGTTGCTTATTCGAAGGCGTGCACCCTTCCCTCGGGTGATAGGCCTGTCTATTGTCCCGCGGCAAATGGAGTCATAGACGTGATTCAGTTTCAGACCTGACTTTAAGCATAAGTATATATAATAATAAATGTTTTTCCCCCCACTCTGAGCCCTGGAGGAGCCCTGGTGGCATAGTTGGTTGTGAATTGGGTTGCTGATCTCAGGGTCAGAAGTTCAAACCCGTGAAGTGCTCTGGAGGAGAAGGATGAGGCTTTCGACTCCCGTCCAGATTTGCTGTCTTGAAACGCACCGAGGCTGTGGGGCTCTGTCCGGTAGGGCTGCTCTGAGTAGGAATCACACCAGTGGCAGTGAAAAACAAGACAGAACTCGGAGCCAGAGGGTGCGTGAACAGGCCTTGGCTTGAGTGGGATTTACAGAGATCCAGTCAGCCTCTGGCCCCTTCCTCCTGTTCACATAGCTTATGTATGGATCACTGAGACAAGCCTTGTGAAGGATCGGAGGATATTTGGGGAAATCCAAGCATTTTTAACGGGGGAAAGTCCAGGTAAGTTCCAAATTGGAAGTCCGCACGTGGAAAAGGAGGGAAGCCACAGGCTGGCCAGGGCAAAGGGAATGACAGGAGAGCCACAGGATGCTCCCCTGCTAGGACCCCGGCAAGTTAAGGCCACTCGGGCACCCCCCACCCAGGGGGATGGAGCCCCAGAGGCAGCCTGGTCCATGGGCGCCATGCTATGGGGCTGGCTCCTGTGCAGGTGGCTACAGAAAGCCTGGCCCTGTGGTGGGTGAGGGTTGGCTGTCAGCTGCTCTCAGGAGCAAACAAGCTATTTTTGAATACCAGTCAGCACGCCTGGCAAACTAAACAAGGTGTCCTTGGCTAGGTTTTGTGGTGCGGACTTGCCAAGGTCTTCACAAGCAGACTGTGCCCCGAAGCCACTGAGGCCATTCATAGTCTCCTCAGGTTGCTCGAGTTTGTGTTTGTTGCGTACGCCAGCTCTGATTTCCCTGATCTTGTCTTCATCTTCCCCATGAGTAGAGAGGTGGTTGTTTTTTTTATCAGAGGACCACTGCACTCTTTCCTTCTCAGGCACCAGCCCTGGTCAGTGGCTTTTCTTGATCGGATTGACTCACAGAGCTTTGCCACAGTTCAGACACCAGAGTCGCAGAGGTATACGTTGAAGTCACTGCGCGACTTCTGAGCAGGTCGCCCACAGGCCCATCACTGGCTTTCCGTGGTTTGGATTTCTGAGTGTCGGTGACTGACGCTCATTCCGAAGAAGACTGGTCAAAGGAAAAGTGCTTTCAGTAACGTCATATTGCATGAACTTTGCTTTCTGTGGTATATTATAGGGTTGCTGTTTCTTGGGGGGTGGGGAGGCAGGGGACGTTCTAAAATATCTATGTAAACAATGTCAGTTGGAATACCTATTGTTGCCCAGTCAATTCCAACTCATAGCAACCCTCTAGGGCCGAATACAGCAGCCCCGCAGGGTTTCAAAGCAGTTCTCCTTAGGGAAGCAGATGGACTGAGTTTCTCCTGTGGAACACCCGGCCTGTTCACGTTTGCCGACCTTGGGTTTAGTTGCTGTGCACCTAAGTACTGTGAAACTGAGTTCCTCGTCAACTGGATACCATAGTTGAAAATCGTCTCAAACCTTATAGTTGCCCCTAAAAAACCAAACCCAAACCGAAAAACAAAGAAAAATCAATAGCATGCTTAAAGCATGTGATTCACACCAGCATGTGATTCCAGTTTGGGGGATATACAGTGTGTTAGGGTTGCCAATTCTCCTTTTACACTAGATTTGGAGGGTCTCCAGTACAGGTCACCCTGCATTCCTCTGGCCCCTCAGCAGACCCCAATAAGAGAATCACCTCTGACTTTGCCTGGGGTTTCTAATCAGAGGGAGCAAATAGACTTTACAGTAGGGTATGTCCTATCGATTCAGACCCTTCATTAGGGGAAAAAGGATTCCTGATGACTCTGTGGGTTAGGTGTTAGGATGCTAATCACAGGGTTGGCTGTTCAAACCCACCAGCTGCTTCATGGCAGAAAAATGAGGCTATCTGCTCCCACATCTATATTCAGCCTCAGAAACTCTATATACGGTCACTACAGGTTGAAATCATCTCCATGGCAGTGGATATTAGGGGACGATTATAGATATACTTTGTTACTACACAAAGCCATAGTTCTGGGGTAGTTTTTAATCCTGCCTTTGGGGCTCTACAAAGAGCAACATGGGTCACTGTCATCCATTAGTTTGAGGAAGAAGCCCTCTCTGCACAAAGGTGATGCTGTGCAGACTTTTAATGGAACAGGTGTTTTTCCCATGAACTTAGAGAGTTGTGTAAAGCACACAGCATCGAGACCAGTATATGTGGTGTAATTGTGCAAACATTACACCAGATTTACAGAGGTATGTATGATGTGGCATTGACCTTTAAGGATTAGAGTCAGAAGACAGTAATACACCGAGCAAAAACCCCGAACAATTCACTGTCACTGAGTCAATGCTGAGTCATAGACCACCCCATAGGACAGGGTCAAGCTGGCCCTGTGAGTAGTAGGCTCCACCTTTCTCCTGCGAGCAGCTGGTAGTTTTGAACGTGCAGTCAGCAGCCCAAAGCACAACCATTCCACCACCAGAGTTCTAAGACAGTCATAGTTACTAACAATGATAGACTGTTTTCTAATTTAATCCAGAACAACCATGTGAGGCATTAAAACCATTTGAGGTCAAGATGACGCCAACTCATGGTGACCCTTGCGGGTCAGGGTAGAGCTGTGCTCCACAGGGTTTTCAACGGCTGACTTTTCAGAAGTCGATCACCAGGTCTTTCTTCCTCGGTGCCTCATTCAAGCATGTGAATCGTTGGCTCCATCCAGGGACTGCTCCTGTGAGGAACTGTCATCTCCATTCGACAAATGACTCAAAGCCTTCAGGTGACGCATAAGAAGAGGCTGCCCAAGAAGACCGATGAGTAGAGAGTTGAATCAGCCTTTTCCTAACATGATACAAACACTAAACCATCCTCCACAGATGGCACTAGAACACTCCTTGGCAACGTGTCATGGGATTGTTGCTATGTGAAAGGAGCACCGTCCTTTGGTGGTCGCACTGGTGGGAATGGGAGGACACGGGGGCTCTTTCTAAACGAAAGGAAGGATGAATGTGATTAGTGGGTAGCCGTGGTTTTTGTGGGCATCAGAGAAGCTGGAGAAGAGAGGAAGAAGAAGGGAGGCTCTTAAGGAAATAAGGAACCCAAGGATTGAAGGAGGAAAACGTGATGTTGAAGGAAAAGTCAAGGCCTGAAAAAAGGGGAGGCACAGAGTGGAAAGTAAATTACCGTCCACTGTCTACCATCCACTTCCATGTTTCCACGTGTGGAAAAGAGCTGGGAAAGGACATGGGAGGAAACCAAGGCCAAGCTGCTGAGGGCAAAGAGGTGATAAAGGAGGAGCCATTTGGCTCCATCAACGTCACTGAATGGTGCTCTGGGAGGTGCGGATGGTTAAGTGCTGGATTACTAAGCAAAGGTTGGGGGTTTGAACCTACCCAAAGGCTCCAAGAAGGAAGACCTGGCGGTCTGTCTGTTGGTGTTGACTCTCTGGCAACTGGCTTGGCTTTTTTGGTGAGGGGGCCAGGGAGGGCTGTGCTGAGTTCAGAGATGATCTTGCCCTTCAAGGAGTGCCCAGTCCCGTGAAGGCCTGTGGACCACCATGATGCTGGGGTTCGAACCTTACGGCTCTCCGGGCACTATGGCCGTGTCCTGCTGTGAATCCAGCTGTGTGGCTCCACCCTGCCTGATGCCCTGTTCATCTGCTCTGTTTTCTCAGGGGAGCTCTACTTCCTGGCCACCTCTTACCCAAGTGCCTACGCACCACATGGATCTATTTACAAATTTGTCGACCCCTCAAGGTGAGAATTGGCCTCTTTTTTTCTTTGCTGATGGCACCTAATCAATCCTTATCTCTGTGGCATGTGACACACATAGTCCTCTGTTCCCAAGAATGACCAACATTTATCAGTGAAGCTAATCTATGCTGCCAATGAAAAGCATTGGGGGCAAATGTAGATAGAACCATGTGTCCATAAAATTTAGGGCATATTTGGGATAGGATCTCTTTGCAGTTAGAAATGAGGATCTGGAGTCTTTCCAGGATGACTAGTCTAGGTTTGTGGTTCCTGGTTTGTCTGCTTCTGGAAACTTCTCTCTGGGATCACTCAACAAGTAGTCTACACTTCTGTCTGCCTGGGGAAGTCTTGCTGTCCTATCTTCTGGGCTCAGTGCAGATCTTAAAGTCTTTGGCAAATGGGTGGGTTATCTCAGCATCTCTACCTGCCCTTTCTGGAATGCTCCGGAAGTATTTGTTCACCTGGTGGACTGTCTGTTGTCTACTGCTTCTTTCTCCACCTCTCACAGAGGCTGGCAACCTCCATGCAATCAGGCAAAAGGTGTAGTACAGCTTTTCACTCTTGGCTGGTTGAGTCTGTGGTCAGCATCCCTGCTGCTAGCAGGGTGATTGAGTGTATAACGCCAAGGACTTTGGACACTGCACTGGATTGATTCCAGGATTTTTTAAAAGTCGTTTTATTGTGGGATTATGCAACTCTCATCACAATTCATACATACATCAATTGTGTAAAGCACATTTGTACATTTGTTGCCCTCAGCATTCTCAAAACATTTGCTCTCCACTTAAGCACTTGGAATCAGCTGGGGGGAAAAAGATTCCAGGATTCTTGCCCCAATAAGAAAGTCTCCCTGTGAACCAGCTTGCAGATGGGCCACAGAGGAAATCTTCCCCGGGTGGGCTGTGCTGCTCACGGCTGGTGTTGAAGAGACACGAGGCAAGTAGGTGCAGCTACTGATTAGGTTTCAGGGAACAGGCGTAGCTCGGTTTCCGGTGGACAGCACGGTCTCAGTGCACAGTGTTCTCAGGTGTTCCTGGAAGAGGCTCAGCCCTTGACCAAGGCTTGGCTTCAGACGGAGGCTCCCAGAAGCAGTGCTCGGGGGCACTCTACGAGGAGCTGGGTGCATAGATGGCCAAGGGGTGAGTTTGGAATCGGACTGTCTATCTCCCACCCTGGGTCTGCTCCTGGTACAGTCCCTGGGTGCAGGGGATGGGGTGGACCCCTGGTGTCATAGCATGCTTCGTGGGGCTGGAAATACCCAGCCCAGGGATTCTCCCGTTTCTTTCCTTGACTAGTTTCCTGGGTGAATCCATTTTTATTTCCTTTGACAGTTTCCTGTTTGTCTGGGGGGTGGGGTGGGTAATGCCCCTCTATTACCTGAGCAGACACAAGTGGCCACTCATCAAAGCAACCATAACGCCTCCCAAGAGGCCACTCATTAAAGCAATCATAGCGCCTCCCCTTATTTCCTCAGATCGATAACTATTGAGTAGCTACTGTGTACCAGACCCAGAGCTAAATGCTCTGAAGGTCGCATCTCACTGAAGGCTGGCAAAACCCCAAGAAGGAGGGTTGACCCCTCAGTTTACGGATAAGGAAGTTGAAGACTAGACACATTAAATGACTTGCCAAAGTCCAACCAAGAAGGAGACTCAGGATTGGAACTCCAGGAATGGTTTTCATTGTGCATGGAAGCCATGACAGCCCCGCCCACTCCGCGCAGCCTCATTCCTTTGAATGAGGCAGACATGCTTCATTTCTCCAGCAGTGGGTCCAGGTTCTGCTCTGATTTGGTATAATATCCCACTACATGACCTGATCCCAGCATTCTGAGAGGCCAGCAGTTCATTACAGGTGTGTGGTCTGTCCTCTTCCATCCCTCCCTCCTGCCCTTGTTTCATGAGAGGCAGCTGAAGGTAACGATTGAGCGCATGGGTTGTGGAGTCTGAGTTTGAATCCTGGCTTTGCCACTAAGTCGCCGAGGGCCTGTGTCTTGGTGTTTGTGTGCATCAGTTTCCCCATCTGTTAATGGGATCAAATTCACAGTCTTACGAGATAATGATTTCATCGTTATAAAGTATTTAAAACAGTACCCTAGTTTCATATTTGTGTTTATTAAATAACTGAAGTTATTATTACTATTAGCCTGGATGTGGGTGATGGCAGTGGGAGATGGAGTTGGAGTGGAACAATGGCTTGGCTGGGAAGTTCCATCTCTTCTTGGGTCATGCTGGCCAGCAGTGCTCCCTGCCTCCAAAGTCCCTTTTATTTCCAAGGTGCCTTGAAGGACACCGCAGGTTAAAGTTTCCTGTGCTGTTTATGCTGGTTATGTAAGGGGTGGTGCCAAGACATCCTGAAGGAGTTTTCCTTAACGGATACCACCACCTCCCACCCACCCCCTTCCCCCAGCAGCAGCAGCAACAGAAACTTCATTTTCATCTGCATTACTGATGAAGCACTTGTTATGTCCTGGGCAATGTTCTGTATATAGCACATATACATATCGAGATCTCTTGCTTTATCAATGTTTGGGGTACACCAGTCCCCTCACCCTCTCCATCTCCCTGACAGGGGGATACAATTTCTCATTGACACATGGGAAAACAGAGGCTTCCCTTGCCCATGATGATCAGGACTTGAGCCCAGTGTGGGCCACTCCCTTGATCATCTCCCTCTGAGACCATCTACCCTCCCAGGGATAGCTGAGGGCTGAGCCCAGTTCTCGCTTTCCTGTGCGTTCTGGCGACATTGATTCCCAAGCCACATCTCCGGAGTCTTATGTTCTTACCTTGTCTGTCTGTCTGTCTGTGTTTTTAGGCGAGCAGCCCCAGGCAAGTGTAAGTACAAGCCGGTGCCGGTGAAAACCAAGAGTAAGCGGATCCGCTTCAGGCCACTTGCCAGTGAGTCGGCCTCCGGGGCTTCGGGCGCAGGTCTGGGCGTGGAGGTGCCAGCATGGTGCTCTCCGCAGGGTCCACGGTCCTGCCAGGGTGAACGGTGTGTTTCTCCCTGGTGGTTATCCCTTGGGTGAGCACTGCCCTTGTGGCTCAGTCTGTACAATTCCTCCCCATATGCTGGGTGAGCGGGAGTAACTCCTGCTTCTACTGCTACCTGTCCCACATCCATCCATCCATCCATCCATCCATCCATCCATCCATCCAATATTGACTGTGTGGCAGGAGGATTGACACTGTGGCTGCAACAATGGGCTCAGACAAGACAACAATTGTGGGGATGGTGTGGGCCAGCATTTCATTCTGTTGCCCACAAGGTGAGTCAGAACCGACTCTACAGTACCTATCATCAACAACCTGTGGTAGGAGAAACAAAGAGCCCTGGCGTTGTCGTGGTTATGTGTTGGGCTGCTAACCCCGAGGTCAGTAGTTTGTACCCACCAGCAGCTCCATGGGAGAAAGATGAGGCTTTCTACTCCTATCCAGACTGCCATGAGTTGGAACCGCATGATGGCGGTGAGTGGGTGGGTGGTAGGCTCTGGGAACATGGCGGGGATTCAGGGTCAAATGATGAGGTGAGGAATATAGGCGAATAAGGACATGCAGTCAGCCCAGTGGTACGGCCATGGGAGGAGAGTGTCTAGGGGTATGGGAGAGTCCCAAGAGTGATGCGTTTGCCTTAGAGGGAGGGTGGGGAGTTGGGGGATGCTAATGGAGGAAGGATGCTTTCTGAAGGGGCCTATTCCAGAGTCACTTATTATTGGATATCACTAATTTTAATTTATTTTTTAAGTATATGGTATAGTGGTTATGCCCTGGGATGCTAATCCCAAGGTCAGCAGTTTGTGACCACCAGCCTTCCCCAGAATATGATGGGACTTTCTACTCCCCTAAAGAGTTACCATCTCAGAAACTCAAAGGGGTCGTGAGTTTCTACTCTGTCTTATAGAGACACTATGAGTCGGCATCAACTCGATGGCGTGGCTTTTTTTTGCTTGTTTGTTTGTTTTTAAGACCATATAGACCTCAGTGAAAGGCATGAAAAGAACTAATTTAAAAAGAACCCACCGTAAAGAACCTTATGCAGCATGGGTGTCCTGAGCGGTATTACTCTGATAGGAATTTCAGGGCTTAGATTTCTCACTGACTGAAGTCTTATTTCCCAGAGACGGCCTTGGACTTGCTAAAGGAGCAAGCAGAGAAAGCGGCTAGAAAAGTATCCAACACAACGTCAGCTTGCGGCCCTGACCGCGCCTTGTCTCGGAAAGGCTCCTCCAAGAATCCAGCTTCTCCCTCAAGCGGCAAGAAGACGCTGCGCGGGCCTGGCACCAAGAAGAAAGGCAGCGCCTGGTGCCCTGGCCCCCAGAAGGAGAGGAAGAAGAGTCGGAAACGCCACAGTGGCAGGATGGCGGCAGCAGCAAAAAGACGACCTGGCAGGAGAACCCCTTTGTCTGTTCTGCAAGGGGTCGGGGTCCAGGAGAACTAGCCGCCCCAGTCGGGAGAGCAGCAGGGAGCCTGTGAGAACTCAGAAGGGCGTGAGAATGAACGGGAGCGCGCGGTCAGAATGGGCGCGTCTGCCCTGAGTCCAAATCTAAGTCCAGGGCTGGTACCCCTGGGCTGTCTTATCTGTTATTCTGTAAGTCTTCCAGGAGTCCCACTTGATGTCTCTATTTTCTTTTAAAAATGCTCACTCATCAAACAATAAATGAACCGTTTCCCAAACTGATATCCAGTCTTTACATCATCTGGTTGCTGCACTGTTATTAGGAAATCTACCAGCGAGTCTGCCTGTGGGTTGTCAAGTGCTTACCTTTGGGCCCAGAGGAGGGGCTTCCCCTTTGACTGAGGAAGAGGGAGGAGCCTTAGGGGGTGACATCAGGAGCCTGCTCTGCCAAGCCCTTGGCCCTGTGTGTGCACTGCAGGGAGGGTCCCTGGCCAGCCTCACCCAGTGTGACAACACCCACCCCGGTGAGCCTGAGTTAGTTAATTGTGCCAATCTGGCCGATAATCACATGTGGGGCTAATTGAAAGGCGGAGGGATAAATGGGTGATGAGCCTCGCCTTTCTAGTTCTCGGGTCTCTTGCTTTGTGATGGTCGCACCAGGGTGCAGCTGCCTTAGCAGTTCCCTGCTTCAGCTTGCAAGACTGACTTCCTACAAGACATCCCCAAGGAGAAGCCGCATGGATCTATCCCGATGCAGCCCTGGGTGCTGGAGCAGCCGTGTGGAGACCCCTGCTAGTGCTGAGATGCTTATTCGTTCACCAACTCAGCTTTCCTCCTGCAGTCGGCATCATTGCCTCTGTTTTGTGAGGTGGAGGACTTTGTGGACTGGCGTTGGGTTAATGGGTTAATGTTGGACTTGTGGGCTTGGGCAGCATTGGGTTGGGATGTTTTCATGATGCACACTTTCTTTACATAAAACTCTCTTATACATGAGTAGCTGTGGATTTGTTTCTCTAAAGTACCTAGACTAATACAGAGCCCATAGCAAAAGCCAACATATAATTTGTTTTCTTGGCACCCAGGGTGTGGAAAAGTTCAGAACGTTGAAAATATAGGTACGTGTTTCCCTTTTAGAGAGAGATTGGAGAAGGGGAGGGGGGAGGAAGCTCAAGCGCTGCTGGAGATGGGACCCGGAGGCTTGCAAGACATCTCTTCCTTGCTAACTCATACGTGGACATGTTTTCAGGAGAGACCAGGCCTCCTGAAAAGGACATCATGCTCTGTAAAATTGAGGAAGGTCCTCAGGGAGATGGACGGACACAGGAGCTGCAACAAGGGGCCCAGGCATGGCCATCGTTGTGGGGATGGTGCAGGGCCATCTCTCGCAGAGAGTGTTTGCTCTGTTAAATAAGGATTGCTATGCGTCAGAACCAACACATGGCACCTTTCAACAACAACTTATGCTTGATGGCTAACTAGCCCAATGTGCTAGGCTGGGTAGACTAGAGAAAGAAAACCAATATATGTGTATAAGAGAACTTTATATCCAAGAGTAATTGTTATGAAAACATCCCAGCCCAGCCCAGATCAAGTCCGGAAGTCCATTACCCCATATGCCGATTCTAGTCCATAAATTCCTCTTTAGACTCAAGTAGCCATGCAATGACACTGAATATAGGAAGTGGGGGGTGGGCTTGTGGATCTGTTAGGTAGCATAGCGACTGGGACGTCCATTACACATCCTCAGAGGTTCAAGCTTCTGGCCAGGAAGGGGTGGTACACCTAGGTGGGCATTGCACCTGATTGGCCCATCTGGGCCAGGTGAATTCAATTCAGCCAATAAGGTCGCCCAGGATCATCAACCACGCCCAGCGGCAGACCTGAAAAGCCAGAATCCAGAGCCTTGAGGCCTCTTCTGCTTCTCAAGCTGCTCCTTGGAGTCCGTGCATCTATCTCCTCTGGCCTCAGGACTCCACATGCGGGGTGACGTGCCCGTGCAAACCTGAAGCAGCTTCTTTTACCTTTCATAAAGCTCACTTGGATCACAATCCAGGCTTCGGAGTGAATTCTTTCTCGCGCAGAGCCAAGAACCAAGGTATATTTCTCCCATGAGAGAATGATCTAACAGATCCAGTGGCAGTGGTACCATCTCGCGCTGTCTTGCTTCGTGGCTCCTTCAGCCCCAGGGCTCTGGCTGCAATCAGCATAGCTCCATGTCGCTTCCAAATGAAGTCATCAAGCTGCGACTGGATTGACAGGCTAGACTCCACCCCTTCACAAGTTGACACCAGATTGTGTAACTACCACACCCAGTGTTGGTTTCCTATTGCTGCTGTGAACACAGGCACCAGAAGCAGGTGGCTTCAAAGAACAGATATTTATTTGTCTCACAGCTCTGGAGTCTGGAAGTCAAAATCAAGGCCGGACCATGTTGGTTTCTTCCTTGTTGCCTTCTCCTTGTGTTTAATCTGGTCTTTTTAGGACTCACCTTCTACTGGCGTGATCTCATTAACACAACAGAAGAAAAGCCCTCTTTCGGAAAGGACCACAATGTCAGGTACCAACCAAACCAAATGCCCTCCCATGAAGCCCTTACTGATTCATAGTGACCCCAAGGAGGGGCTCTGTATTTTGCTTGCTGACTTTCTAGAAGGCCCAGGCACAACAGCATCTGCTCTTTCTGAGAGAGTTTTGAGAACGTTAGTGGAAGCTTTAACAGCAGAAGTGCCTGGGAATGCTTCCCAAGAGCCCCTCTTCACCACAATGCTCCTGCTCATTCTTCTCATCAAACAAGGGCCATTTGGAAAGCATTTTGACCGGAAATTGTTAGGCATCCACCTTACGGTCCTGATTTGGTGTTTTCTAACTTATTTTTTTTTCCTAGTTAAAAAAAAAAACTTTAAAAGGCACCTAGTTTTCTTCTGTTAATAATGTAAAAAAGACTGCATCAACATGATAAAATTCCCAAGGTCCTCGGTTCTTTAGGGATGGATGAAGTGACTGGTGTCATTGCTTATGAAAGTGTCTTGACCTCAATGAAGCATATTTTGAGAAATAAAGTTTATGTATTTTTTATTGTATCATATAATTCTATTGCCTCCAACTTTTAGCAGTCCCCTTGTATGAGTGTCTTTTCCAGTTAATCTCCCAAACCAGAGAGAAGGGTAAATGGTATCACTGCCCCCCCCATCCCACCTCAACTCCCAAACTACATACCATTTAAGAAATACAGAGCTCTGCTCTTTGTGGGCTCTAATCTTAGGCCGCAGAGAGATTTCATGTCATGCCTACTGCCTGCCAGGCACAGTACTGGCTCTGGGGAGAGCAGAAGGTGAGAGAGGTGGACTGGGCCTGTCATTGCTTAACTGGTTTGTATCAAGGTCAAGAATAACTTGAAATCAAGGTGACAGAATGCTGGCTGGCTGCCCAAACCTGCACTACCCAACAGTAGCACGAGATGAATGTAGCTTAATTTCTAGTAACCACATTACAAAATGTTAAAAACCAAAAGGTAGATTTCACTACAACTAATATTTTAAAAATCCAATTTATAAAAATGTTTCAACATATAATCAAATAAAAACATATTAATGAATATCTATCTATCTATCTATCTATCTATCTATCTATCTATCTATCTATCTATCTATTTCAGGTGTTGGTTTAGAAACCTGATGTATATTTTTACTCTTTTTAGTATATCTCTGAGATCAGACCAGCTACGTTTCTGTGGCCACAAGTAACTCTTGGCTATTATACCGAACTCTGGCCCTCACATCTGGGCAAAGGAATTTGGGGCCGGAAAATTTCAGCAAAAAGACTCTTGGCACTGGTGATTCCAGTCACGCGGCATTCTGAAATTTAGGCAACGCCCCTTAAGAATTAGACTGTGAAACAGGCTTTCCGGGCAGCCCGGAGCGATTTATTTTAGAGTCTCTGCCCCTCCCTTCTGAAGGAGGCAGGGTCTTGGAGGCAGGCTCTGTCCTCTGTCACCGGCTGCCACGTGGCGGCCAAAGATCGGATTGCTCTGGGCCACGCTGGCCAAGCTCTCAGCTAGGGGAGGGAGTCTGGACGCGTGCACTCAGGTCGCGGCGAGAGGGGAGCTTGAGCCGATGTTTTAGCGCCGCCCGCCGGCCACGGGGAGGAACTGCAGGCGCTGCGCCTCCTGCCTGGCCAGCTTGCTTCCTGCCCTCAGCCTCCAGGCAAGAGCAGTCTCCATCTGCCTAGGACCCCCGCCCCCTTTTTATAACCTTTCAGTTCTCCCTTCCCGATCAATTCTAAAGCATTATCTGCATCCCAGTATGGAATAGTTTTCAATTCTTCCAGAAGTAATGGGGTATCAATTCTGTATTTAAATGACATGACTGAAAGAAACAGAGAGCCGCACCAGGGCCCCCTGCTAGGTTAGATTTGAGACCCCAGGTTTATAAGATCAGCGTTTTAGCCACCCACTGCCCTAGGTGGTGTAATTGAGAAAAAGTATGCGTTAGCTGGTCACCTGAAAACATAATTAACCCTATTCATTGATCATAAATGGGCATTATAAAACCTAAGAAATGCCAGAGGAAAATGCTTACATCTTAATGGTCAATGGAAAATAACCTCCATCTCAAAATTGTGTATGATTACAATATATCAATGTGGCAGCTACCTCAAGTTACGTTCACAGAGAGGGCAAGTGGCGGCTGGGGGGCGGGGGGCGAAATGCCAAACTACAGTTGGGTTCTGGTCATTCAAGGTGATATCTTAATGCCTTAAAGATCCTTCGATACTTCTGATCAAATTGATCAAGATTGCTATTAATAGGTGAGTTTTGGGGCCAGTGTTTGGGGCTATTAAGGTAAAGAAGTTGTTTCGTGAGTGGATGGATGAATTGATTGCTTCAGCACATACTGCTGAGTATTTACCTAAGGCTACATTGGAGAGTGCCGCGCTGATCTTTGAAAAATAGGATTGGATTAGGTGTTAACTATTATTTGAAGTAACTAAAGGCCTTGTTGGAAAGCTATGAGTTCAAAAAATGACATTTATTATAGTAGCAT